CCAGAATACACGCGGTAGTATCAATAGGATGGCGCATCAGAAGCCGGCAGCTACTTCTGGGGCAAATTTCAAGTTTAAAAGTAAGTCAACTAATTTAAAATGTTTTTTCTTAGATCCAAAGAAGTTATCTATGGTTGGTTAGCTGCTTAGTAGTTTCAACTTCAGTAGCTAGCAGGTAGTAACTCGCTTACATGTTTAATTTAACAAATATAAACACCATTTAAAAATAAAAGGCTCACATCTTTGGGGGGTGGATCTGTCGTCCCTCACACTCTCTACTGGACGCTCCTATAGAGAAACCTTACATAGACAAGTGCGTGTACACACACAGGTGCTCACATGGTGCTCTCATAAGTATGGACTTGGGCACGTTCAACACATGTCTTAAGGCTGTGGTTGGCACTAAATGCACTGTGATTTATTATCGTGTGATTGTTCAGTTAAACAATGTTGATTTTATATTTCATCATCAGGTTGACGCAGTGCTAGCTTGCTCCTGATGTATGTGTGTCCCTTTTCTGCAGGTCTAGAAGCAGACTCTTGTTCATCATTGATAGTCTATTTTCGTGACCTTGCAAGACATCACCTTGCAAGGTCAGGCCCCTTGACATTGAGAAACACCCTAAGTCTCTGGGCGTCGCCATCTTTGATGCCACGTTTCCTTCTACGGGAGCCCGTGAAGATGAAATGCATTTGCTGATTTGCAACAAGCAGTTACAAAATTCCTGCAATTCATGAACATTGCTGTTTATCACTCATTACCCGCGATGAAAGGAAGTCTGATGTTTTTCTTGTTTTGCTGGAGGTTGAGCTCCCAGGGATTTTTGACCCTAATGGCCATCCGTTGGTAAGGTCTTACTCAAACACAAAAATACTGCTTGCTTGCAGTGATGTAGGTACGTACTGCCCTCTGTCACCAGGGAAAACACACACCACCACTTTAAACTCAGATCACTGGTTAGAAGCACAAAACTGTGAGAACATCTGCAAGTTTTGATTTGGAATAACGTTTATTCAGGACCTAACTCCAAACAAATCACGAACATTCTCTTCAAACTCTTCAGTCATTGAGTCTTAATTATCTCTGAATTATTTCTAATTCTAGCCAGGATTCCCATTATTTCTGGCTCACCGGGAAAGTTTAAAGATAGATTACAGACTTCCACGACAACGTCGTGATTTGGAAAGGACTTGATTTCTTTTTCAATTTTCTACTCTAGAATTTTATTTATTCGGGGAATTTCTGTGAACCTTTTAAAGTAACAAGTAGGAAAACACATTTATCTTCAGTGGACAAATTATAGACTGATTAATTTGCCAACATGTAGAATTTAAAGATGGGAAAAAAAACTGAACTCATTTCTCAAACCCTGCTCCACCCACATTGGCCAAACCAGAGCTAGCATGAGGACCAGTTAGTGTTCAACCTCCCCAGTTAGGAAAACCTTCTCCAGTTACAGCTCGGTCCACAACATTTATTCCAAGGAAGGAGTCGTCTCTGTACGGTTAGTCCATCCCCTGGAGGCCTACGAGCTGAATCCTTGGATATATAAAGCCCCTCTGAGTAACGGCACTTTGGGAGGCAGGATCGGGGGGGGGGGGGGGGGGGTTCCCGGGTATTCCCAGCGCTCCTCTCTCTGCCTTCAACCAGATCCCAGAGTGTGTGTGTGACGAGAGCGAGTCGTACCAGAGCAGTCATAGAAAAGAGATCAGCAAAAGGAGGAGGGGGGAGGGCTGAAACCAGAGCGCCGGGGTAATTCCTCCCAGGATCCACCAACATGAAAGGATCGCCCCCTTCTCGATGACCTAACCACTTAGAACGACACCGAAGCCGTGTTCGGTTGGAGGGAGAGGAGAATTCAAAACAGCCACACACACAAAAAAAAAAGAGAGAAAGAAAAATCAATGGATGCAACAAAAACAAAAGACATCAGCGCAGGAATGCCAGGATAGAAAATCCAATTACGAATCAAAGGAAGGCAATTTTAGAAAACGTGAGATGTGGAGATAAGTCTTAGGCAAAGACAGACTGAGATGTGACACGGAGACAATAACAAGCACAGTGTTCTCTTTAAGGCTTAAGTAACACCGTGCTTCCCTCCAAATGCCACCGTCTTGGATAATAGAGTTACATTTATGAGCGTTGCCATATGCCCACCCAGCGCCTGGTAAATAGAAAATCCATGAGATGCCATGTTTTTATGACTGTGAAGACAGCTACTAACTACCATGAGCAAACCTGCGTTACCTCGTCAGCGCCGGCATACGCCATAAATAAATTTATACTTTGATACAGGCCTACAGCGGGCGCTGAGCATTGCATCCCATAAAAGCCTCACCACACTGTAATTCATAACTCCCTCAATATCCGGCACTATAACTCACGAAATGAGCCGGTACAATACAAATTGAGGGTAGATGAAAAGTGACATCATCCTGCAGAGGGATGAAGCCGGCACCCCGAGTGGCGGTGAAACCGAACGGCCCTTCCGCAGCTCCGCCACACTGCCACAGATTTTGCTGCTTTTTTTGTCATAACCAGGAGCCCACAGTTCTCCCACCACACGGCAGGAAGTCTCTCCTTGTGTTAATGAAAACAAACATTTAGCAGGGATTCGTACGCACCTCAGTCGACTGCAAAGAGCATCAAAGCAAACTGCCTGGGAACACACACACCCAAACACCGCTGCTCACAAATAAAGGCAAGGTATGCTTTGCTAATCTTTTATGTAATAAACTCCCGTCTTACTGTGATATCACGCGGCGCCATGTTCCCACATAACAAGCAAAGCTGCTCGGCACCCAACTTAATACAGTGTCTTATTTGAAATGCAAACAAACTGTGAGGCAGAGGCTATCACCTCAATCTATTCCCCTTCTGTTCACTGGCTGTCATCTCACATGAGCCGATGCTGCAGTTTTGCACTGTGGTGGTGTGTGTGTGTGTGTGTGGTGGTGGTGGTGGTGGTGGTGGTGGGGGGGGGGGGGGGGTTGTCACACAGGCTGCATGCTACGAAGGATGGGTGATGCAGGAGGAAAGGAGGGAAGGTGGGTGTAGGAGGGGGAGACGGGACGCTGGCCACAGCGTGATTCAGAGGGTTGCTTCCCCTCGCAGCACTGCGGAGCAAGGATTTACCGGAAAGGAGAGGAGGAAAAAAGAAAAAGATACGGGAGGAGGGAAGAAGAAAAGCTGCTGAGACATTAAAGGGTTTGGAAAAAGAAAGGGATGTTTCATAAAAATAGCACGCAGGAAGTTTAAATTTCAGCTGTCTTGGACTTTTAAAGGACGGTGAACACACACACACACACACACTGGCTGTAGAGGCTTCCTGAGGATTTGGAAGTGACATGGTGTAGTGGAAGGTAAACCCACCTAAACTAAGTTCACTGACATTTTAACAGGTGGGGAGAAGCTTAAAGCATCTCTGATATAAAACCACGGGGCCACAAGCCCAAGTAAAACCACAGGGAGGGGAAACGCCTTCCACGCCGTCACATGCCTCCTTTTATCACCTCTGTTAGACACCACACTTTAAATACCATTTCATCAGAGACTGAGGGGAGATGGTTTTGGCTGCTCAGCAGTTGGTGGCACCTGGTCGTCCAAATGCCCCATCCAGCCTGCACGGTGGGGAGTGCCCACTTTGGGCAGATGGGTGGAAGGGCGGCGAGGCCATTACCATGATGTTGAGGGGCGCAGAGGAGCGGGGAGTGTGGTCGAAAATGAGGAAATCAGGAGTTTCATCGCGAACAGCCTCACTGTTATTTCCCAGCTCAATCACTGCAGTAACACGCTGTTTACTGCAACACATGCGCTCGGCAGTAAAATCGGAATTGGACGCTCGGCCCTAATACAGTCGCCCACCCATCATCCCGGCAGTAAGAGCGCTCCTGATCCCAACTCGCTGAATTAAAACATGTGAATAATTCAGCAGAGAGGCGGGCTCTGAAGAGTCACCTTGTTGATTTTTTCACCTGCCATCAGAAAATTGCAGCCTTCGAGTTTCACCAAACGAGGGGATCAGTGGCACAATCAATTTGCAAAAGAGCAGGACCAAAAAAAGGAGGTGTGTGTTCAAAGTTACACATCATTGTTCAATGTTTTTATGGAGTGATCATGTTTTAGTTTCTTTTTTGCAGATCTGAGGGTGTGTTCTCACCAGACACCTGGTTTTACTCCGGCTTTAAAGTTCCCTAAAACTGAACGGGGAGAAATAGATTTATAAGAATGAAAATGAGGCAGAAAAGGGTGAAATTACACAAATAAATAAATAAATAAATAAATAAATAATGAACACACTTAAGTGACAAACGCATTACAGGAAAGTGGAGCATTTGTGAAATTTCAGCAGGCCTCACACATTCTGGGGTTGAGTCAGCACACGCACAGAAAACACACACACACACACACACACACACACACACACACACACATACACACACACACACACACACACACACACACACACACACACACACACACACACACACAGCAAGGACTACGTTCAGAACATCACGTTCCTCCTTTTGACAGAAAAAAGTTGGCAGCACACAAAAGTCTATTTGAAAAAGTAGATCACACACTGAGGAGTTGACGTGTGAGCGGCAGAGAAGCGACTGATGCAGCAGACTGACCGAGGGAACACTTCTCAGCACCACGAGCCATGAAACTACTCTTGTACACAAACACAGAGCGATCCCACTCACAGTAACTGACCGCTTTCATTTCACTCAGAAAAATCAAGGGTCTCAAGCTCAGAGAGGAAGCCAAACCCATTCTGCATCTTTACTTTCACAAGGGTAGGGTGAGGGTCAAGGGTTAGATGGGGGAGAAGGGGTGGGGTAAAAGAACTCTGGGTAACAACACAAAGCGAGCGCGATGCTATCACATGCCGCCGAGGAGCGCACAGGGATATGAAAGGGACGGATGGAGAGTGAGAGAAGAGGAGAGGAATAGGAGGAGTGGAGACGACGACAAAGCCAGCTTCATTCATTCTTACCTCGGTCAGGTAGAGGAACGCAGGGGGACACGGGAGCGAGTGAGGCAGCATCCCGGAGCCGGAGAGCAGCAGACAGCCGGAGTTGGCCATGGAGCTCAGCGTGTGGTGACGGGACGCTTTGCGCATTTAGCAGGGAGATCCTTTTGCTCTTCTCTCTTTCTTTCCTCTGGCTTCCCCTCACTCTCTCACTCTCTCTGTCTCTCCTCGGATCACTTCCTTCCCTCAGCCTTCCTCTCGTCTTTTCAAATGTCCCTTTTTTTCCTGCTGTCTTTTGTGTCTCTACTGGAGATGCAGCAGGGAGGCGAGCAGTACGCAGACAATGTGCATGTTCCACCTTTATCGCCACTGCTCCCTCTCTGCCTCTCTTTCTCACTATCCCTGCCGCCACGCTGTTTACTTTGTGTGCGATAAAAGCCAACATAAGCATTCAGACACAGAAGGGGAGGTTCTGTGCAAGCCGAGGAGGAGGAGGGGTTGCACAGCCGACTAGGGGTTGGGTAGGTTAGGGTGGGGGTATGAAAGAGATGGTGGTAGGATGAGAAGGAGGGGGTGGAGTGGGGGGGTTCGGGGTGCTGATGAAGTCCCTGGTGGATTTATACATCAAACGGGCCGGCTGAATAACAGAGGGGATGTGAACGACATTAGAACAGCTGATCCTGGGCATTAGCACCTCGTGGGATGCTGCATGCTGCCTTTTAATTGCACCCCACCCCTCAGACGCACACATAAAACACACACACACAGACACACACCCTCAGTGGCCGGCACCACCTCCTGCTCCTCAGCCTGTGCACTCAAGGACATGCATGCATGGCAGATCTATCTGTGAAGGCAGAGACAGATGCATTAAAACCAAAGCAGGCTGCTATTAGGCCCAGTCGTGCCATCCCTCTTCATCTGCTCTGAGCCGTAAACATCCATCCAGCCAAGCATGTACGGTAGAGCACGCTAAACTGTACGAGAAAAACAACTCGGAGCTTCCTTTGAATGCATCTCCCTGATCAATTCTGTTTGATACGACTTTAAAAGAAGCAGACAAAGAGAATGCACAAGATGGGCTCATTACATCACGTGCACGGGTTTGATAGGGAGGCAAGTCGGGGTGGAGGGGCGGTCCTGAACCTGGTTTCATAACCGCGATGTCTCAGCAGAGTCTGGAGGAACGTGGGTCAACACCCGAGTACAACAAGGTGTTGCCTCCATCCAGCTTGTGATTCTTGTTAATACAGTCAAGTTCAAGCATGTTTTATTCATCAAGGCCAAAATCACAAATTTAAGAATCTGCAGGATCCAAGAGGCAGCCGGAGGGGGGTGGCAACACCAGGGGGGTGCAGTGAGACAGTTTCACCATCAAACTCTATCCTCGCACCATCATTTTCATCTCTTCAGAAGCATCTTTCTAGTCTCCAAATCGCTGTCCATGTGTTTTTTCTCTTCCCTCTCCTCTGTGATTTATATAGTTCTGGTGTTGTGCTCATTCACGGCGGTTTCTCTGGTTGGAAAACACAACAAAGACAATCTGAGCTCCGTGGGCAGGATTAAAAACAGGGATGTTATCTTCATACGCCAGAGCCAGAATAACAGCATCGTGAAAAATGCCACAGAAAGGAGTGAGGATGAGATTGATGCGGCTTTTTGACTCGACTCAAACACGCTTCTGCGATCTGGTTGTTAAAGTGGGTGCAGGCCTGTCACAACCGTTTCTCTGGCTGGTTCTGTTGCAGCTACAAGAAATGTGAATGTTTGAATCTTTGCTTAAATTCAGTTTCTTCTTTATTTTGTGATTAAACGTCTGCGACCAGATAGGACAACTGAGGGACCCTCCCACTGTAGATTACACAAGCAGGATGCAGGGGGATGGTTGGCCTCTAATTACTAATTCATCTGCGTATTTGTTCAGAGAAACCAAATAATAAAGCATCATTAACTCAAATAAGAGCTCACCTCTCCAGCAGCTATCTCGTTGGGAATAACTGACCCAACTGTTTGATGCAAAAGATCGGTCGCCACGGATACCTTCTTTGGTTCAGGGTGAGCGGCTCGCCTGCTAAAGATGGAGAATCCCTCTCCCTGTCTGTCTCTCTGTGTGTTTTTCTGTCTCTCACTCATTTGCTCCCTTTTTCCACCACGTCTGTCTGTCTCACCCAGTTAATAATTCAAACGAGCACTGCCAGATCACTCCCTTCAAAGGGAGTTGCTGGAATTTTCTCAACGGTGCCTTTTCTTTTTGTCATGTGAAATCAAAGCCCTCAAACGCAGCAGACATATCCTCGGTTAACTCCGCACACTGCAGCTCCACCAATTAAAGCAAGCTCAACAGCAACTGCAAACAGCTCACAGTTGATCACTAACAAAAAAGAAAAAGGAATCTGAATCATCATCATCATTTTTGTCTCTGTTGCCCTTTGTCTTCCTCTGTTTCTTTGTGCCGTGTAATCACCACATTCCAGTGGCAGGCCTGTAATAATCAGCATAATCATTATTACCACAATCACCATCATCATCACTGTCACTGACGACTAAAGCGTCTATCTCCAGAGCATGTGTTACTGGCCGGCTACAGAACAGGATTCACCCCCTGAGGCAGGACTTGCGTGTGTTCGTGCAGGTGTGCACACGCTTGTGTTGAGCTGGTTTCAGGCATTACAAGCTTTCAAATCTGGGTTTAATCTCCTCTGAAAAGCATCGCCGTACACAAGATGCGGCTTTGGTGAGACACGAGCTGGTGTTATTTTAATGTGGTTTTCAAAACAAGGGGGAAAAGCTGCAGTTCCAGCAGTAAAAAGCCATCACATGCCCTGAGAGCTCAGTCAGCAATAATCAAAGGCAGTACCAGCAGCGACTAATGGGGCCCAAACGATTGGCGGCACATTCTCCGCCGTTCATCGTATGACCGCTGATCGATATCGTACACTCACACTAATCATCATAAGAGTTGACTGTTTATTTCCTTTAACTCTGGCCAAACGTTCAAACGCTTCAACTTCTTCAAGAGCATCAATACAAATAAAATATGGTATTTAAAAACATGTCAACAACTGAATGTTAAAGGCTGCTATTAAAAACATCTCATTTTATTTATTTTTTACTGTTTTTGAACCTCCTGATTTTCATGATTTTGTTCACGTTTTTGTTTTTTTAACCTTTTTTTTATTTAAATAAATGGTTTTGGCACGCCATTTTTTTAGAGCAGCAATCTGGAATTTTTCCTCTTTCAGGAATTTTGCACAATTATTTTTCTAAATATGTAAAAGTGATAGTTTTACAATGCATCTTTTTTCTTTTTGCTAACCCCATCTCCTGTCCCACAGAGCCCCATGCATGTTGAACTGAGCGCTGCTCAGCATTAGCCAACATTGTTAGACATCCATTTATGTACACATGTCAATCAGTGAGTGCGCACACTCCATTGCAGAAGTACCATGGCTGATGAAGATGGTTATGAATAAACAGCATAACATGAGAATAATGTTTGTAGAACAACATGTTTTTGCTCTGTTGGCCAGTTAGAGGTGAGCGTTCATGAATAAGAGGTATTGCGTTCAGCCATAACCACAGAGGAAGGGATAGGGCATTAAGGTGTGATACATTTGTCCTACTCTAGATGGGGCACTCGGACATAAAAACATCTGATTTCTGCTTTAAAGAGCAAGTCACCCCCTTAGCAGAATCTTACTCCACACTTCCTGTTTAGAAAATGCACTAAAAGGAGGCGTTGCCTGGCCGAGAGGGCAGCAGTGAACTGACAGACCCCCCCCCCCCCCCCCCCCCACTGCTACACCTGCTCAGAGATACTCCGTTGGAAACAGCAGCAACTAAAACCACAGACACTAACACATACTCAACTCAGGTGGAGTAACGGCAGCACACTTCCTGGTCTGGAGGATTTCTCTTCACTTCCTTCTCCAGAGAACAGAGACGAAAGGGAAGAAGGTTCTTTAGAGGAGGCAAATGGCTCTGCGCCGTATCTGATTGTGAGTGGCCGAGCCAGCAGGAGGCGTGGATCAGACTTGGCTGCTTCTTTACCCCACGGCTGGAGAGCAGCAGACATCACGCTGCTCTGGCTGCATCACTGGGTATCGTTTTAGCCAATAGCGATGGCTGATTGACATTCAAATGTGGTGTAGACTTTTAACCTGTTGAGGGCGCTACACTGATGTTTTAGACTGGTTATTTAAATAAGACGCAACAAAATCCTAAAATAATAACAATGGACACCTATTTATAAAGTTTATTAGCTAAAATGTGAGGGTGACTCGCTTTTTATGTTTGTGATCAAATAAGGTCACTCACCCTAAAATGCTCACAGGTAATAACTTTAAAATTATAATATTCTTAATAAAAATATATAATCTATGAAAACTGTTTTGACTTCTTACAGAAACCGGTTGCTATCAGAAGAAGCGAGTTCTGTGACTCAAATACCCGTCCCTCCTCTTTTTATCTACTTATGTTTTATTCATCCATCCACTCCGAGAAACACAGAGAAGCATAACACGTTATATTTGTTTGTTCTGTTCCTCAGACAGTTTTAAAAACCTGGCTGGACTCTTCTTGATTTTGTTCACACCACCTTCATCATTAGAGTTGGCAGATAAGCTGGAGCTATTAAAAGTCTAAAAAAACAAATAAACAAAAAATAAAACTAAAATAAATAAAAACCTGTCATGATTAGGATAACTGAAAATCTAGAGTTCAACCAACATTTTATGCTCAACTTCAACAAAAAAAACCTGTGAATTACTTAGTTTCTGTGTCATCAACCAACAACATCAGCGACTGTGACATCACACACTTTTATAAACACTGTCTCTCTTGTAATAAATGTAGGATATTGTCATGTTTATCAGATTTATTTGTGCAGTTATTTCTCAACTACGAGTCGCTGTGTGTGTGTGTGTGTGTGTGTGTGTGTGTGTGTGTGTGTGTGTGTGTGTGTTTGCATGTTAACTCCCAAAAGCCACACAATGCTGTTTCTGTTTTATCTGAACGAGTCTCTGAATCAAACATTTCAGAAGACCTTCAGACAGTTTCTCAAAAATTAATTTTGTTTTTTTTCCCTCCTGATTAATTTACTTTACAGAATAATGGACTGTAAGTAAAATAACTTCATGCAATTTAGTAATTAATTCAGCTGAGCAGATCTCTGAGTGAGTTAAATATTGTAATCACCAAAGAATCTTAACTAGAATTTTCAAATATTAAAAAAACACAAAATTAAAGCATTCCTGCAAATATATTTTAAAATATGAATAAATGAAAACAATCAGTGTAAAAAGTAAATAAATGAATCACCTTGTGTGACTTCAGTTGATGATTTATTTCCCCTTTTTTCTTTAATTTAAATATATTTTTGACTGCTAGTCTTTCCTTTAATCAGTAGATGTAAAGATAACATGATTGGTTTCCTGGGTTGATTTATGGGCCAGCTTTGAACAATGTTATCACCTCAACTAACACTTTTTAAACACATA